GTTATTAATTTATTTGAAAGAATGTCAATTAAAGTGTCTTAATTACTTGATTCTGGTTGATCATCTGTATCAAGTTCACCGGAACTTTCATCGGATTCAATCTAAAAAGAGAGAAGATACTTATTTTATCATATATTATATGAAGAACAGCTTCATAAAGCACATACCTTATCCCCTAATTCAATTAATCTTTCTTTATACAGTGTAATTTTACTATCTTGATCTGTTAAGAGTTCTAAAAGAGCTTCTTGATCTTTCTTCAATTTTTCAAGCTCATCAATCTTCAATTTCAATTGAGATTCTAAATCTGATTCCTTGTTTTCTTTGTCTTTCTCATTGTGTTGTTGCATTATGTGCGTATATTCCGCTAAACGATTTTCTAAATCTGCAACCATTGTTTTATACATTTGCAATTCCTTTTCCAAATCCACATTATTACTAGAAGCGCTTGTTTCTTTTCCATCTCCTATATTAGCTTGTGCAGCTCGAAGAACCAAATTTTGATCTCGAAGATGACTAACGGTTGAGCGAAGTTCTTGTACTTGTGCCTACAAAAATGTTAAAAATTTTTTGTAATATATTCTATAAATTTGTATTTTTCTAAAAAGAAATTAGTTTCTACCTCAAATTCTTGTTTTTCTTTTGTAAGAAAATCATTAGCTTGATTTAGCCTTTGAATCTGTATATCCTGCTCTCTAATAAGATCTTTGTATTGTGAAATTAATGTATTATTAGGTAAATTCATTACAGATAATTGATTCTTGTTTTCATTATTAGCATCTATCACCGATTTTATTATAATACCTAAAAAAACAAAAAAACGAAAAATTTTATTTGCGTTTCAAAAATTTAACAACACAATTTTCTTTACGATTGTAAAAAATTTGAATGTTTGATGTATCTAAGTACCTTCCAAACTTTTTAATAACCTGCAAAATTCGTGATCCAATAAAAGTTCCGACGGATTCTTAGCTGAAGGCTGTGGATGTTTTAGTGTTCGGGAATATATCTCGTGTCTAGCAATACCACCGATTGCATCTTGAAACTTTTCCCAACCTATTCTATTCTCTATTAAATTGCACACTTTTTCCTATAAAATAATATAGATAAGTTTTATTAGTTGCACAATATTCACTTTATATATTGAATTTGTACAAATATTGATAGTATTTACTTTTGTGTAAGTAGGAACGCTATCATCGTTGAAGTGTACGCAAATACCGATAAGCAAGGCGCACATACTCTGCAGTAAGGTCTCTTGTAAGTCATCGTTATTTTCTTGTGATGACAAAAGAGCTGTTAAATATGCTACCGAAGAATCGATAGCCAGGAATGATTTTACAGCAAGTGGACAATACGAGGTCCATCGACAAAGCAGAATCAGCAGGCCCAATTTACACTGCGTTTTGTTACCCTGCTGTAATAACATAACGCACTGTTGCATAAGTGTCACTGGTGGTTTCCCAATATTGGTTGCGAGAAGTACTCTTAAAAGTTGTTCCTTTTGACTTATGTTCTCGATCAAAGCATGAGATAACGCTACAGCGGAAAACCAATTTGACAAAGAATCTATAGAGAATAATCCGCCACACAATAACTGTCCTAACAACAGATATATGCGAAATAATGTTATTTCACAGTTTAGTCAAAAGCGTTTATCTAGAATTGGTGGTATTTTTTTATATTATACATTTATAAAAGAGATTATGAACCTGTAGTTAGTGATGGTGCCTCGTTGCCTTGTGGTAATAAAGTCTGGACTAACTGCGTTTGTCCTACCTCATTCTTGTACAAGAAGCATTGAAAGCAATATAATACTGAACATCGCAAAACAAATGGTTGTTTTTCATTCACCATGGACATTAGTAAGACAACAATAGCTGGCCTATAATATACTTATATGTAATTTGTAAGTCTTTTATTATTCTGAAAAATATGTGTGTGATAGAAAATGGATGAGATTAACATGTATCTAAGATATACCTTGGAGGAGTGCTCGGTGCCATAACACCCGCCAAAAATTCTTGATTACTAGCATTCCCTCTTATTACTTCTGCTACAGTGTTAATGGTCTCTGTTAATACATCCGCTGGTACGCCGCTAGCCATCAATATATCGCACAAAGCTTGCAATAATCCGCATGCTCTCATAGTTCGTTGACAAGCTGCGACTGCCTTCATATATACAATTGTTTAGTTATTAATTAAAGATAATATACAGACATTGGAAATTTTATATAGCGCCACAATATTATTTTCTTACCTGAGCAGGAGCACTTGGTGCTACTAGCGCTCGTACAACTTGTACCATGCAATGAACATTAGAAACTTTCTGGGGACTCCATCCACCAAAATTATTATCCTCCATTTCATTGGGAATTTGAAACATTGGTGTTAATTTCTGAATGTAGCTACCTGCATAATGCAACACAAAAATTATTATAAAACGGTGAGATCATAAAAATTGTCGGAAAGATCTAATTGTAAGTATATTACCTTCTTTAAAAAAGTTTTGGTTACTAACGTTTCCTCTGAGAAGATTTAACATTAATAGAAGGCAATCTTCTACAACAATACCACCATCTGCATTACCCTCTTGCTCAATGACGTCAAATATGCGATCAAATGCATTTTCAAATGCTACTATTTTTTGTATGTTAGCATTTCCTTTTGTTAATTGGATGAGCAACAACAAGACCTACATAAATAATATATTATAAACAAAGCATTCTCATTATATCCCTTATATCAAGCTCGTTATATTGCTCATTGGTAAATTTAGCTTACATCATTGCGTATAACTTCTCTGCTATCACTTAGCAAATCCATCAATTTAGAGACACCCATAGGACTGACCAAGATTATTTCCTGAATATCTTTAGACCTGTTTGCCAATAAATGCGTCAGTAACTTCAGCGCTGGCCACCTGACACGAAAGTCAAACTCTTCAAGAAATGCCAGCACCAAACCAACGCTATCTGAATGCTTGATAAATATTTCTGTAAATTGTTCTCCTATCTTGTTCTTGGGACCGTGTTTATCCACTAAAATAATACAAAGAGATTAGATATAAAATTGATATAACAATAAAACTCAAGATGTGTTCTCTATGACTGAAGTATATGCTTATTATATTTAAAATAAGATAATATAATCTTAGTTTACACCATTTAATGTACCAACTAGCAACTTTCTATTAAATTATCTTAATTTCAGCAATAAACATATGCACAATACATGTATTTAAGTGATTATCTTGATGTATATTGTATCTTAATATACCTTTTAAACATATCAATGAAATTAAGATAATTTAATAGAAAATTATTAATTCGAATATATTTAAATGACGATATTGAAGAAGTCTTAAATGATCATGTACATTAGGCTGTACATTTGACAAAAACAAACTAGAAAGTTTTAGTGCAGTCCAATGCAACAAGAATAGTCGTTTAATCTTACCCTCCTCATCAAACATTTCAGGATTTGTTATATTGCAAAGAGTATCCAAGGCCAAGCCGATTATCTCACAATCCGTTCTGTCCATCTCCAACACTTGCCTCAATGCATCCATTCCTTGAGCACCCACTTCCACACGGAACGTGCGAGACATTGCCTTGAGCGCACGGCAAGCATCTCTTCTATCATCAAGCAGACTAGAAGATTGCAACCTGTCTACTAGTCTCTCCACCTATATCAAAACATACAAATATTGTAAGAGCAACAGCTTTGCATTGCAAACTATTTACAACTTAATTTACCGACAAAGCTTTATTGATAATTAGTAGCAACGTAATCACATAAAAATGTACAGCGTTTATTCAAAACATAGGGAAGTAACTTTCAATGTGTGAAACATAAAATATTTGTTAGTTCCACTCACTGTATCGGCACCCGTTGACTGTGTACCAACGGGAGCGGTTCCTAAGACGGATTTCAGACTGCTTTTAAAATATTCCATTTCTTTCTCTTTCTCTCAACGAGCTTTCCACTGTTTGTCAATGTAAATTACACGTCACACGTCGACATTTTAAATCCAAGTGATGCCCCGATTACCCCAATGCCGCTTACGCGCTTCCCCTCAAAAACCTTGAGGCTTGAAGAGTCATGAAAGTGAATAGAGTTAAAACATTGCGTTTAGCGGATTTAACAGTTGAATGAGCGTTCGCTGCTATTGATGTATTCTTCCAGATCTAAAATGCTGATTGGATGATATGAAAGAATACACCAATAACAACGAGTGCTCATTCAACTATTGAGTTCACTGAACGCAGCCATTGAACACGTTGGACAGGTGGAGTAAGTGCTGTATTGATTTACCTATTTTAGTGTTATAAATAATTTAATTCTTTTAAAGTTATGAGGTTATCGTGACAATAAAGGAAATGTAATTAAAAGGTTTAAATTATTTATTAACACTGAAAATATACAATATAAATTGATTTGCATTCAATTGCACTCAATGTACACCAAGTCTTGCACTAATTTTTTCAGTGAAAAATGCAATAGGAGCATTTCCATTGGATTTGATTTATTGGAATTGACCAATCATATCGTCAAGCGAAATAACAGTGTGATTGGTCAATTTCAAAGCCGGTTGACTATTATCAGCATCGCAAGATGTAAGTGGCAAGATTCTAATCCAGGAATTACGTCCAAATAACTCTGAGCTATAGGTTACGTTACGTATATTATAGCAAAAATGCATCCTAGAGTTATCTAGACGTAATTCCTGAATGGCAACCCTGCTAGCAATCCAAAATTACATTTGTTATTCTGCTGCGATTGGCCAATTCTAATGGATTAACCATCGATGGCGTCAATCAAAGTTAATTAGTCAAAGTGATCCTAAATATCAACTGTAATTGGTCAATTGTGCTGAACAGCAAACTGCGATTAGTCAAGGAGAGAATGACATTAATAGCGTTTTTCCGAATGTACTTACATTTATCAAAAGAACAAATCAAGAAAATCTAACCTATTATTTCATAAAGCTGAAATTTTATCTATATATATTAACGAGATGTATCGTTATCAAATGTGCTTACGTATTCTCGCTTGTAAATCCGTTGTATGAGAGAACGTGAAAGATTCTATCGAGATTCGCTGTCATTCTTTTCTTTCTGCAAATACATCTGTATTTTTATTGTGTCTCAAGCACATCTCTAATAATATTCTGTAGCTTTCGGCAGTTAGAATTACATCTGTATGATACATATCTCTCCAAATTGACAAAATACTCTCGAGAATGTTGCAAAGACCTTTAATTATTTCGCTTAAAAAAAGGTAAGTATGATAACATGATCTCAAATTATTTGCGAAAAATTAGATATACAAACTTGATCTTATCCTTCTAATAGAGAAAAAAAAATACGAATGAAATACATTTATATTCTCCACAGAAAATTCATTATATATATTTTGCTTTTTATTTTTTAGCTCAACTCGCTCACAATATCTCAATGCCTGGCAAAGATGTAACTTTTCCTCCCAAAAAATACCTCTTGATTTAAAGGAGAATCATAAGAAAATCGTTACATCATTTCCACCATTGACAGAATCCATCCCGAATTTACCAAAAGCTATTTATTCGACTGCGAAAGAGGAGCATCAAATAACGCACATCACTGTTTTACCAAATGGTTTGAAAGTTGCATCTGAAAATCGATTTGGACAATTTTGTACTATAGGTGGTAAGTTGAGTATGATTTGGATATAGCGTTTTCAACTGTAGTGAATTTGCACTAACTTGGATTATATTAATGATGTTATATGCTCTATTATTGATAGAGCATGTAATGTCAATTATTAATAGAACATTAATCCTAGATTGATGCAAACCTATTAAAGTCAAAAACACTAATACTTATTAGATTTGTGTGTGTATGTGTGTACGTAATAAACAAATTATTATATTATTTTAATTTAATTATTATATTATATT